ATTTTTACTGTCGAGACCTACATCAGCTTTTATTTTTTTGCTTAGTTAGAAAAAGCGGAAAAAAAATCCATTTCCCGAACATATCTAATGAGAACAACCACAAAGTTAAAAATATACTTTGCAGTAAAAAAAAAAAAAAAAACAAGAAATTTTGATTGAAGGATAACGACGTAGATGCATTTTTCTGTTAGATTATATATATATAAATCGAAACGAATATTCTATTTTAGACAATTAATAATTGATAAAGGTTGTTGAGTTTTTATTAGATCGATGAAAGTATAAATAAAAAAAAAATGAATCATAATTTACTATATTTGGAAAAAATTAGTTTTGATAATATCTTCTCTTTTAACTAATATTTAAATAAGCTAATATGTCACATAAAAAGATTAGAGAATGTAAAAATAAATCTATTAATAAGAAAAACTCTTGTCCTTGTTATAGATTTATTACAAAGAAATATCAGTCTAGATTTTCATATAGATTACTTGATGACATAACTATATGAAAATATTTATAGTTATGAATTATACATATTGATAAAGTTTATTAATTTAATAAAATCAAAAATTTTCTTATTATTTGATATTCTTAACAAGAGGAGTAGAAGATTATTTTAAACAGTAAAGTGAAAGATTTTTCTAATATTAATATTAAACTTAAGGAACAAAATCTCTTCTAGATTTATACATCTTCTATTAATTTAAATAGAAAAAAATTCAAATATTTTTCATTTAATATAAGAATTAACCTAGAATCATAAAAAATTTATGTCATTTAATATTAACAAAATTTCATTTTAATAATCAACATGTTACTAAATTTATTCATCTTATTTTCATAATGAAAAGTGTAAATCATCATTATTTCTTCTAAAGAAATAATGACAAGAAAAAATTCATTGGAAACATTATTAAAAAAAAAAATTATCTTCAATGGAATAAAAAAAAAAATCTGCAAAAATAATATACGCACTGTTGATTTAATTACTGATTTACATGCGTAAAATTCTAGCGTGAAGGATAATTCTTTTAATATTACCATTTCTTTGAACTTAATGAACTTTCAATACCTTAGAAAATATATGAAATCTAAGTTAGTTCATCATTAAATAAACAAACATTCTATTCTATACTTTCTTTAATAATTAAAATAATGTAGAATGATCTTTTCATGATTAGAAAAAAAAAAAATGAAATTTGATTCTTAATTGCAGAAACTATTAATGTATTGTTATCTGTCTCATTAATTTAATTTATCATTAGTGAATTCATTTCTTTTTCTAAGAACAATATAATTTACATGAAATATTTTGTTTTTTTTTTGTGTATATTAAATACGAATATGAAGAAAAAAAAAACATCTATAATTTCTTAAGCATGTTATCAAATACTGAATCATTTAATACATTTGTTAGGCAAACTATTTCTATTTGTTATTTGATAATCAATGTTACATATCTTCTTCTTTTTTTCATATTAATATCAAAGAATCAGAGAAATATTTTATGCTTTATAGATGAAAATTTAAGATTGTCACGTACTCATATGACAACATATGATTGATATATAGTAGAAATTCTTTTTATAGATAATAATGCTATCATTTAAAGAAAAGAATATTATATAAATAGATTCATCTTAGAAATTTCTTCTAACATCAAATACGAATACTAATAAATTTAATTAACAATTATCAATGATTTTATTTATAATGAAATATTTCATTATGCTTACTTACACGGACTAAGGTGTATTTTGTTTTTTTTTGAAGACTAAAAATAAGATTAGTTTTGAGGAAAAAAAAAAACATTTCAAAGGTTTTTCTGTCTTATGTTGTATAATTTCAAATAATCATAAACACTTAATTTTACTATTATCAATCATTTATGTCTTTATTAATCGAAGAAAATATTGGTATGAAAACTACGAATAAATAATTGAATTTGATAATCAATATTTTGATATGAAAAAAAAAAAAGTTTTATTTTATATAAATTATTCGAAATTTGATGCTTTTTCTAATGTCAATCTGTGTTATGCATATCTATTGAAACATAATCATCTTTACCAAATATGCAAAGTACCTAATGTATGTAGAATATAAAGTTCATACACTTAATGAAATGTATAAAACAAAACTCAGAGACAAACGCAAAAACTACTCGAAAATAATAGAGATTTAATAAAAAAAAAACATATGTTTGATAAAAATGATGCATTATCATATCGGTTGATTTCCTATAGGAAAAACAAATCAACATTATGATTAATACCATGGATACAGAATGACCTAACCAATTTGTTTTTCAAAAAGAAATGTTTCTGTATATCTATTGTACTTTGACCAACTAAATTGATGTTTTTTTTTTTTTTTCATTATTAGTAAGGAAATGTTCACGGTTATTTATAGTTATGATGAAAAATACTGTCTTGAAATATTATTTCTGACATACGTTCGAAGTTATAGTTTTTGACAAGTTATGAAAGTAAACAATATTTTCTAAAGAAAAAAAAATTCTCATTGAATAATTTAAATTAAATATCAATAAAATTTTCATATTATACTAATTAATAAAGAATATACTTATGTGAAAAATTTAGAATAAAATATATTTTTTCTAGATCATTGACTAAAAATATTGCGTTCTTTTGTATTTAGGATTAGAAGGATAAATATAGAAGGTTTTCAAAACTTATTCGGATCACTACTCTACATATATATGTCATAAGTAATATTTCATGAGAATATTTATATACTATAAGTATGCATCTATTTGACAATGAAAAGACTAGTCTATTTATTTAAACTATGGCGGAAATACTCAAGCATTTTTTTTTCCGAGAAAATAACGCCTCTATTTTTATGTTGATTTCTATTTGACCTTCAAACAACTTCAATAAACCTATTTTGATTAAGACAAAAAAAGAACAGTTTTTTTTTTTTTTTTTTAGAGCAAATATTATTCATAATAATGTTAAATATTTGTTTACTCGATTTTTTTAATGATAGACAATCGAATATGATTCTATGAAAATAACATATTGAATCTCATAAAAAATACCTGATTTTTCAATAAAACAAGCAAAAAAAAAAATGTCATGTTCTGTTTATATGTTTTACAATGTAGATAAAAACATAATCAATAATGTTCTCTATCAAACACGATAGTTTTTTTTCTACAATAATTATTATGACTACAAATATCATTAGAAATTGATTTTTGTTCTGCTTTTTTCGTCATAAGTTTTTAGAGGACTTACTATTGAAAAACTTGGAATTGATATTCTTATTTTATTATTCTATGATTGATGTGATTTTATACTTTCTACCATCAAAAACATATGTTACCATTATTAATAATATTCATCTTGATAAGAAAATTTTTATTTAAAAAGTTTGATAAAATTTCTTTTTTTTTTTCTTTTTGTAATACAAACTTTGTCAATTATATATATACATATCTAAAGAATAGAAATATGAATGAAATTCGAAATTTTAATAGTTAGAAGATACTGTACCAACAACAATCTATACTAAAAAAACAAACATCAATAATACAAAGACAAATTAGAAAAGTTTTCCAAAATTGATTTTGTAATCGATATATAAAAATTATTGATCAAAGTGACATACAATACTATTAAGTGAATACTATTTTTTTGTTTACAACATAACTCAAGATCAGTAAATCAATTAATGAAACCTTTTAGACGTACCTATACAAAAAAAAAAAAGACTTATTGAAATAGCCTACATTCCTATTTCATTACTTTTTTTCTTAAAATCATAAACTTATTCATTGAGATTTAATCTATTGACGTTATTTTACTAATCTATACGAATGGTTTTATAACATGGTGTGATGATTTACGATCTAAAAGAAGCACGATTGAATTCTTTTTACTGTAAGTTTACCCATATATATCTTATCTTTATGATTTAATTATATGAAGAGAACGGTAAGCAAATGAATCGATTATTATCAAAGCAATGATCATGACGAACAACGAGAATTGTAAGCATATAGAAACTAATAAGAATAATAAAAGACAAAGAAAACGAAGTGTATTTGATCTTGAACAAATTCATGAATTGGAAAATGTTTTTGATAAAATAACACATTATCCAGATTTATCTCTTCGTCAACATCTTACTCTTATAACTAAACTTCCTGATAAAAAAATTCAAGTTTGTTTCTTTTTTCTTTTCTTTTGTTTATTTCGAATATTCTTATTTCATATTTTTTTAAATAAGATTTGGTTTCAAAATCGTCGTGCTAAATGGCGTAAACAACATCAATTAGTACATTTTGGTGGTTTACATGAATTAACAGTTGATGAACATCATAGATTTGTTCCAGCACCTAAACCAAATTTTGTTTTACCATCACCATCAATAACAATACCCGATGTAAATTTTATCTAGATTTTTATTTTCAATATTCTATTATTAAATATTTAGAATACATCAATACAACAATTTGAACAATTTTTTTATTGGGCATATCAAACAGCTTTAGCAAAATCTAATGGAAATCTTCAACAACCATTTCTTATGAAAAGGTAAATAAATAATGTGAAGATTGTTTTGATTTTTTTTCATTTTCGACTATATACAAGTGATACACATATTAAATAAAAGTATTTATGTAAATATATATTTTTCTATAGGAATGATTCGATTTTTTCTTCACAATTTACTAATGAATTTATTTCTTATACAAATAATAACAATTGATTGTGAAGAAAGACACCTTGACAAATACATCCAGATGAAAAATACAACAAGAAAAAAAAACTGAAACTTACCATAAACATACTTTTCGAAATTTATTTTTCAAATAAAGAAATATTTTAATTCACAGCAATCTTATTGAATTATGTGTTTTTTTTTTATATATTTTACTTTATATTATTGAAAAAAAGAAATGTTCATTTAACATCTTTGTCTTTTTTTTTTTGTTTTTCTTCTTGTATTTATTTCTCTGTACTTTTTTAATTTGTTCGATATCTAAGATAAATATTAACAAGTGTAGAAACAAATGTATTCAATGCCATAACCCAAATAATTAATGGAAATTGAAAAAATGCAAAATTAAATAATGGTATTGCATCCTGTCCTCGACTTTTTATTGTTAAGATAATCATAATTAAAACAGTTCCAATATTGAGTATCATTCGAATAGAATTTGATAAATTTTTTTGTTGTGCTTCACTACTATTTCGTACATCTTTAAGACGTTCAACAAGTGAATTACGTAGACGTTCTTTACGAGTATAAGCAGCAAATTGATCTTGTTGAGAAAGTGTTCTTAATTCAGCTGTTACACATTTTAATTCATGAGTGATTTCATCAATTTTTGTAGATGGAGAATAAAATTTTTTCGAAAACCATGTACATATCAATGGTGTAGATGCACGAAGACATATTATCAAACTAGTAAATAGAAATAATGGCCAATTGACTGGTGGTATTGATAATGTATCTAACGACATTTATATTAAAAAAAATCTATAAAACAAACATTGATTCATGGAAAATTCAGCATTGTTTTCTTTTTTTTTTGTTCAATTTTTATTTTCTTTAGATGAACGAAATACAATATATGTCTTTTATACAGAAAACTTCTATCAAATAATTAAACAAAAAGATATTTTTTTTTGCGTTTGATTTTAATTTTCATCCAAAAAAAAAAAAAATTCTCAATAATTAAAATGAAAAATCATAAAATATGTTAATCTCTTGACATTAATAGACATTTATATATTTATATATATATGGTTCATCTATCGATATAAATAAAATGGAATAGAAGACAACAAAAATGCAAAAGAATTGTAAAATATTGTCTGTGTATGTGTGTGTGTTTTTTTTATTTGAAATCTTCTACACTGAACATACCCTACAAAACAAAAAAAAGAAAATCAGAATTTTGTTTTTCTTCAAAAAACAAAAAAAAAACTTACACGTGCTCGTCGTAAAATAGAATCTTTATTAGCATCATATGGATGTTCTTTACTTGGAATTTCTAATATTGCAGGTAGAGTTTTATCATGACCATCAACCGTTCCACGAATCATTTCAGCAATCTTTGAAAAACAAAAAAATTTGTAATTTTTTAAATCAAACATAAATAATTTATCTTACATATTGACTAATAAGAATAATGCCAATATCATCACGAGCAAGAAAACTTTTAAATGTTTCATCAATATCCGATAATTTTGTATCTATTTATATGAATTAAAAATTCAAATAAGAATCAAATTTTTGTTTTTTTTTTTTTGTGTTCAAAACAAACTTTTATCAACAATTAAAAAATTTGGTTTACGTGTTTTAGGATGTAATTCACCAATACCACCAAGTAAAAAACCAGTTACTGTATCCTTTTTTTTTAAACAAAACAAAACAAAACAAAAAATAAAATAAAATTACAACATGAAAACTAACTTCATCACCAATAACAGCCATTATTTTACTCTTTCCACCAAAAAGTGATTGACCGCCAGTACCACCAGTACTAGGAACAGTGTTACTTGTCATAATAGTATCAACAAAAGAAATATAGAATCTTAAAAATCAAAAAAAAAATATATATTTAGTTGATGATAAATTTATCAATATCCCAGGTCAAACGACCCCAGTCGGATCTCGCCAGTTCGGAATAATTTCGGTCGGATCCGGTCCTATATTTGTCGGATTCCCATCAGCCGGATTCCGGTCCGGATTTCATCGGAATTCGACGGAACGTGATAAAATCTGACCTGATCCGGCCCGGATTTCATCGTGTTCCGTCGAATTCCGGACCGGAATCCGGCTGATGGGAATCCGACAAAAACCTTGTCGGATCCGATCGGTTTTTTATCAAAGATGTCGGATTCCGATGAAATCTGAGGCGGATCCGATCGTTTTCGATCGAATCTACAGGTCGGATTGAATCTCCTGGGATTTTTCATAGAAATCCTAAACAATGTGTTTATCATAGATTCTATTTATAATAGTAAAGAGTTCTTGTTTTCTTTATCATAAGTAAAGTGTATCAAAATGTACAATAATAAAATCCTATGAAAAATTATGTATAATAAAAAAAAAACATAATATGAATAAAAATCATACTTTTTCATTGAATAAATAATACTTATTGATAATAAAAAGTATGATAAGCGAAAGGCATTTTTTTTTTCTCATATAGTCAAAGAAAAACTCAATGAATAGAAAACATAAGTAAAGTATTCTAAAAACAATAGAATAAATTATATTTACTATTTGTTTTCATATAAATTTCGGTACAAAGTATTATTTTTATTCAAAAAAAAAAAATTATTATGCTTTAGTATTGTATATCACTAACAGTAGATGTTTTATATATTTTACTTTTGTTGAATAATAGAATTACCATTAGAAATATTGAAGATAATTATTAATAACCGATAGTTAGACTTTTGCCACGTATATAAATGGAAAATTTTTAGTTTTGTTTTTGTATTTTTTATATATGAGAAGGAGGATTCAATGAAATATTCTAACATTGGTAAGAAATCTTAACCAATAGAAATAATTGTCAATCAATTTTTGATTCATTGTTCTCATGTTTTCTGTTGTTTTTTGTTATTGATACTAAATTGTAAGCTTCATCTATTTTTTACGTATTTATATATTTATATATCATATTATTAATTTGATTATAATTTCAATCTTCGATATTATCTTATATACAAATTGATGTCTATAATATATTAATTAACTGTGACGGTATATTATGTTGCAATAGAACTTGACTTCATTTTTTGTTTGTTTGTTTGTCTTGATTATGTTAGATATAAATGTATCGTGCATTATTAAAACTTCATATTCATCTTAAAGTAAATTATTTGTTTACTTTTTGTTTTTGTTTATAAGATCTTTTCTTTTTTTTTTTGTCTTTATTTAGAATCGTGTACTTGATTTATCATATTCATATGGATTTTTTGTTGCTGATCATTCACTTTATGTTATTCTAATTTGTTTTGGTATATTTCTTCTTAGTTTGTAAGAAATAAACTATTATATTATTATTATTATTATAAATAATTTTTTTTGTTTTATATAGATTTCAAATAACTACGAATGTTCCACCACCTGGTAGTACATTAGAAATATTTGCTGAATCATCAAAATCATTTCGACCTGTACGTGCACGATTAGAATTAAATACAAGTGATCAATTACATGATAAACAACCAGATAAACCATTATGGGTAAGTTTTAATCAAGTTAAAATCAAAATAGAAATAAAAGAATAGTTTGAAAAATTTCTTTGTATTTTTTTTAAGTATTCTGGTTATCCACTTGCTTATGTTCAACATATTGTTATACGATGTTCATCGTTAACATCTCGTAGATCATGTCTTTTACGTGCACGTGATATACGTGATCGTCTTTTTTCTGATCAACAATTTGATACAAATTGTTTACGTGTTGGTGAACCAATAAATGCCCAACAAATGATATCATATTTACCATCATTTGGTTGTCTTTTACTTTCACCATTAAATTTATGGTCAAATGATATATTAAATATAAAAAATAATGAACGTGAAATTCTTGAAACAATTTCATCATTATCAAAACGTTATATAGATATTATATTTGGTATTCCACAAGAATATTTTTCATCAAATAAACCATTCACATATGCTATAACATTATTATTAAATAATGCATCAAATGAATATCGACAAGATTTAAAAAAACGTTTATTTGCATTTGATGAACAACAACAAGATGATATTATACATATTTATTTTTCAAGAAAATCTCTTCTTTATTATTTACCATTAGTACTTATTTATATTGTTGTTTTTCTTTATATTTATTATTCAGTTAGTAAGTATTTAATTAAACTTAAAATACGAATGTTATTAAACTGAGTTTAGATATTAAGGCAATATTTCATATATATATATTAGATAATTAATCAATTTTGTTCTATTTCTATTTATTGAATTAAAATGAAAATTTTATCTGTATTTGATAGATTTAGATTCTCGAATGATTGATTGTTGTAATTTAAAAATAGATATTTGGTTTTTAAAATATTTCGACCTTCACCTATGATGTTCAAGGATGTCTCTGTTTACTTTCTTATTGTTATGTTCTTCTTTATGACGTTTTTTTTCGTTTATCTAATAATTAAACTTACTGAACTTAAGAAAAAAAAACTTCAAAGCATTACGGCAAATGTGTACATTAATTAATAATTCTATTCTTGAAAATATAAATCTAGGTGCATGTCATAGATTTTCTTAAGAAGAATTTTTACTTTTATTATTTCTCTTCTAATAGAATTATCATTTTTTATATTATTCAATAGAAGAGGAAAAAAAGTAACTCATTTTCTTTGACAATTATAATGATAATAATCTCCTTTTATTAAAAACAGTTAGTTAATCATGAAATCTTTCTATTTGAAAAATTCCGAAGAAAGAAATCTATTTTGTAAAAGACAGGCAGTACGCAAACAAACAAAAAAAAAATTTAGAAAATGTAATTGTTCTTAATCGTGTATAATGTAAAATATTCATCTTTAGCAAAAAAACAAAAAAAAAAAAATGAAGTCATACAATACTTTATTAATGATTTTTTAAATAAGGTAACACTTACAATAAAAATAATATATTTAATTTAAGGTCAATTTGAATGTGTAAAATCTAAATGGGGTCTTGCATTAGCAGCAACAGTACAAATTGTTGTTTCATTATTAATATCATTAGCATTATCATCATTATTTCATATGACACCACGTCTTGATGGTGGTGAAGTATTTCCATATTTAGTTATATTTATTGGTTTAGAAAATTTAGTTGTATTAACACGTGCAGTTACATCATTACAAGCACAAAAACAATATGATGATATACGTGAACGTGTTGCACATGCACTTCGTGCTGAATCATGGACAATATCAAAACATTTAGTTTATGAATTAATTATTGTTATGATTGGTTTTATAACATATGTTCCAACTGTAAGAGAATTTTGTCAATTAGCATTAATTGGTATATTAATTGATTTTTTAATGCAAATTAATTTTTGGTTAGCAGTTTTAAGTATTGATATACGAAGATTTACTGTTGGTGTTGGTAAAAAAAAAAATCGAAATTTAGAACAAGAAAAAAAAGAAATTAAAGTATCATTACCAATAAGAATGCCTTATTTAATAAATAGACGACAACAACAACAACAATCTCAATGGGCACGTTATAGAGTTTTACAACGAGGAAGTATGTTTATTGTTCTTATTTGGTTTATTCTTATTTTTTATAAATCATGTTTAATTGTTGATTTACTTCATAAAAATGGTAAGAAAAATCATAAAATTTTTTATTTTTTTTTTTTGTTCTTATTTTTTTTTTATTTTTTTTAAAAAGTACAAATAAATCGAGATCAAATTAAAGATTTTGTTCCAGAAAAAATGCTTAATGAACATTATGGTTCATCATTTAATAATCAACAT